CGGCCGCCGCGGGGGGGGCCGGGTCCCCCCCTCCCCCCCCTGCCGCACCGCAGCCCTTTACAGCCTGCTGCGCTTGCCGGTGTCGTGGCGTGAGGAGCTGCAGGAGCCCCCCCGCCTCGGCCGCGCTCTCGCCTCGGCCGCTCCAGCAGCGCAGCGCTTCCCCTTGCGCTGATCCCGCCGCTTGCGGGCTCCCCGAAGTGACCCGTGCTGCGGAACCCCCTGTGGACCCAGCTGCTCCGCGAGTGGCTTTCCGCTCACCTCTCTGCCCTTTTTCTCAGCGTCGCACTGCCAGCGCCAGCCTCTGGCCGTAGGGCGGCGTGGGGTGGGCGCGTTGGTTCGACGCTGGCGCGGGTTCGATGTGGGCAGCGATAACCGAGGCCTCCCCCTCTTTCAGGGGAGCTCATGGATCTGATCCGGACAGAGGGCCGGAGGATGACGGCAGCCCAGCCGTCTGAGACGACCGTGGGCAACATGGTGCGGCGAGTGCTGAAGGTCATTCGGGAAGAGTATGGCAGGTGAAGCGCCCTCCCTTGCTGCCTGCGCCCCTCCTGAGCCCAGAACAGCTCTCCCACGCAGCACGTTCTGCTATGTCTGTGAGACCCCTTTCATTTCCATCACCCCCTTTTCCCACTTCTCCTACAGGGGGATTCAGTGAGTTTAACATCAAAGGAAACCTGTCCTTTTCAGCATAGCTGATGACATTTCATAGAATCATAGTGTCCTGAACTGGAAGGGACCCACAAGGATCACTGAGTCCAACTCCTGTCCCTGCATAGGACAACCCCAAAATTCACACCATGTGTCTGAGGGTGTTGTCCAAATGCTTCTTACATGTTGTCAGGCTTGGTGCCGTGACTGCCTCCCTGGGGAGCCTGTTCCAGTGCTCCACCACCCTTTGGGTGAAGAACCATTTCCTAACGTCCAACCTAGGAAGAGGAAACCTGTCCTTTTCAGCATAGCTGATGACATTTCATAGAATCATAGATTCTATTCAATATTTCCTCTCGTGAAACTCCGCTTGGCGTGTTTGTTGTGGCTGCGTGAGAACAGTCTGTGCCCTGACCTCGGGCTGCTCTCTCCTTGCGTTCCCAGGAGGGTCCATCCCACTGGAGCAGTAGCCTTGAGCCTGCTCCTCATCTGTGGGCCGCAGCGTTTGCATGCGACTTGCGAAGGCGCTTCCTGGTGCAGCTTCGGGTGTCTTTCTGCCAGAGACAGCTAAGGAAACCCCTTGGCATGGCATGGCGTGCCTCCTGCGTGTGGTTTTCCTTCCTCTCTGTTCACGTCCAGGCGTGCTGCGCTGTGGGGACAGTACTCAGCCTGGCCATGCCCCTGCGTGCTCTCCCCAGGCTGAAGGGCTGCGTCTCCCCGCAGGCTTCACGGGCGCAGTGAGGAAAGCGACCAGCAAGAATCCCTGCACAAACTCCTGACTTCTGGAAGACTGAGCGAAGATTTCAGCACCCCTTATCCTCTCCTGAGAGCTAACGTTATTGAAGCTATTAACGAGCTGCTAATAGAACTAGGTACGGAAGGGTCTGAACTGCCCCATGCATGGAGCTTCTTATGGGATGGGACTGATGCTTCCCCCTCCTCTTAGGTGGAAAGAAAACAGCAAGGATCTGGGAGGCTTAATCTGAAGGAACTAAGGAACTGAAGTCCTGCTCCCAGAACTAAGTTTAAGTCCTCTTTGGCTTACAGGGAGATGGGTGGAACGTTGTGGAGGGAAGAGTGTGGGGCCTGTTGGCCTGTGCTCTTGGTCTTCTGGGAAGTCTTGAGTTGAGTCCTCTGAAGAAGAGCATCAAAAATATGCCAAGGTTGGACTTAATCCCTGTGCACATATAACCTGACCCTTGTGCACAAAGCACTGTGATACATTTTTTCTTTTTCTGCGATCTTGTGACAGATCAGGCACCCAACTCTCCTTCTGAGGCCCAGGCTACCCTGCCTTCCCTTTTCTAGTGCTATTGGACTGTAAAACAATTGAATTTCTGTCACTAATTGTTGTGTGGGCACGGTTGTTATCTGAAGTAGTGCTGACACAATCCACTCCCCTCATGATGCAGTTTTCAATACAGCTATTTCTATAAGTAGCTAGGGAGCATGAGGCATTCAAGGGCCGGCGGCTTAGTGCCTCTCCGCTGGTAAGAAAAACAGGGAGAAAAGCTGCTCCTGCTGTACCAGTGCTCATAGCATTGCTTCAGTAAAAAATGATCTTGTTGGAGGACAGCCCTAGCAGCACAAGTGCTGCTTTTCCTGGCTGCTTTTCCACCCACGGTGTCCTTCTGTTACAGAGGGCACCACTGATAACATCGCTATGCAGGCGCTGGAGCACATCCACTCCAATGAGGTGATCATGACCATTGGCTACTCGCGCACCGTCGAGGCCTTCCTGAAGGAAGCTGCCCGCAAGCGGAAGTTCCAGGTGATCGTGGCGGAGTGTGCGCCGTTCTGCCAGGTGAGGCGCGGGCTGGCCGTCTTCTCCAGGCGCCGCGTTGTCCCACGCGTTCTTACTGAACTCTTGTCTCTGGAGGCAAGCTGAACGTTACAGAAGTTCCTCTGCAGTTGAGATACTGAAGACAGCGTGTTATCCTACCCTGTGTCCTTCAGTTGGAGCGCTGTATTTGCACGTCGCTTGGTATTTTTGCAGTTCAGACAAGAATGGAGTGCTCGTATCTCTACAACTGCACTGCAGGATCTATGTCCCAGGGAACCAATTGGATTCTCCCTCTTTTTAGGGTCACGAAATGGCTGTCCGACTATCCAAAGAGAACATTGAAACTACTGTCATGAGCGATGCAGCTATTTTTGCCGTCATGTCTCGAGTCAACAAGGTAAGGAGGGCTGTACTGGAGGAGGGAGTTCACAGCAGGTTGGGTGCTTAGCCCTCCCAACCCAGCTGCAGGTCCCAGCAGGGATGGATGCGTTTCTTCACTGAAGACTCAAAATTGTAACAGTCCCTGTTTACAGCGGGGCTGGAGATGCAGTGTGGAGCCCCAAGTCAGTACGATGACTAACTGCACAGTGATAGGTTTTTCTGCCTTAGTGGCTAACAGGCAGAAGAGTTACAAGAAACCAAGCCAGGAGAGCCTCAAAGGATTAACCTCAGTTTTTAAAGAGGACAGAACAAAAAGCAGCATTTCCAAAGGGGAGAAGCTCCCCTTGCCTGGAACACAAGATGGGTGGTGAAGGGAATCACCGAGGTGTGTCTTTTCGAACAGACCTGTTCTGTACTTTTAGAGGTGAAGACTTAGCACCCCAAACTTAAAAAAAAAAAAAAAAAAAAGAGTACTTGTAACATAATAAAATCCAGCCATACTGCTGCTTATTTATATATTTTAAGCTGCTTTACATTATTCCCATTTTACAGCAAGGGAATTGTGGCAGCCAGCAGTCCAGTTACTTGTACAAAGCTTACTTTGCAGGCTCGTAGAACAACAGGGAACACAGCCCAGTTTCTGCTCGGTGTTCCCTGCAGTAGAACATACATTTGTCCTCTGAAGTTCTCTGTGCTGGCCTCACCATGCTGGAGTCATGCTCTTGTTAGAGAGGAACGCCTCAGTGCAGAGCCAGTGCCAGATGAAACAGATCAGGCATCCCGCTGCCCTATAACTCCCGCCTTTGGCTGGCTGGCTGGTCTGACAAACTCCTCCAGCTCATCCGGCAGGGTCTGGGCCAGGAAGCGTTCCTTCCCCAGTTTGCCGTGGAACATGCTATCTAATGCTGATTTGCCTTTTAAGGTCATCATTGGTACAAAGACAATCCTGGCCAACGGTGCCCTGATTGCTGTGAGTGGGACTCACACCCTGGCACTGGCAGCTAAGCACCACTCCACTCCGCTCATCGTGTGTGCCCCCATGTTCAAGCTTTCGCCGCAGGTAAGTACAGTGGCTCTTCAGGGCTGCACCCGCTCTGCATAGAGGTGAGGGTGATTTTATGCTTGTGGAGCTTAGGGTGGAGAGCACCACCTGTCCCAAGGCGAGGCTGGTAAACGAGCCATCTCCCCCATCTAGCGCTGTTAGTTCAGACTGGAGATCCTCACCCAAATCTGACATGCCTCAGGATCTCCGTGAAGCAGCCTCCTCTGCCACATGTGCTGAGTAAGCAATGCGTTGGGTATAAGGATGTAGATCACTGCCTACTAGAAACTGACATCACCATACTTATTTTTCTTCAACCACAGCAGATTTCAGTTTATGTCTTTAGTGTTGAAGCACCCTCTGTACTGACAGAGGAGGTAGATGGAGATGCTCTCAACTGTTTCTTACACTCAGTACTTTTTCAGTATTGTCAGATGAAGTCACAGACTGAGGAAGTCACTTCTCTGCTCCAGTTCCCTAGGCTTTGCAGAAGGGCAGCCAGGTCATAGAAGGCTCTAAAAGCTCTGAGGAAAAACCTTTCACCTGTAGATGTTACAGAGGTTCTAGGCACAGGCACTATGTAATTATTGTAAACAGATGTAGCATCACCTGGCAAGTTGTCTTCCTCTGCTTTGGTTCCTTCCAGCATCCAGGATCTGTTTTCACTAGGAGAATGAGACACTGTCTTTTTTCCTGACCTTCTTGTACTCTTTCTTTCTCATTCAGTTCCCTAATGAAGAAGATTCATTCCACAAGTTTGTGTCACCACAGGAAGTGCTGCCATTCACAGAAGGTACTGGTTCTTCTTTATACAGGCTGGTCAAGCTGGTTCAGGCTATAATTTTTAAATTTTAATAGCTCACATTTAATTTAAACATAAGAGTGTCCTGTAACCCAAGACAGAAAATCCTTTCCTATTGTTCTAAGCAGAAAAAAGTGCTAGGAACCATCCTATTTTATATATAACTTTCTATTACAGAAAGTACAGAAAAAGGATTTCCTTTGAACACTATCTTTGCCCTTTTGCTTCTGCTCTGAATAGTCAGTGTTTTATTATAGGATTGTGATAATGGTGCCAGGCAGGTGGCAGTTTCCTGTGGGACAGAGCAGATGCCCAACACCGAGGGCAGCTTCCTTTCCTTCCTACAACTCATGTTAAACTTCTTGAAGCTTCGTTATGTGATCCACTTGTTGAAACTCAGTATCTCTGCAGTGGGCTTCCCACACAAGCATCATCTTTAGAAAGGCGTCCGCTCCCAAGCCCATTTTCAGATAGCAAAGTCTCTTTCAAAGCCCCGTTTCTATGTGACAAAGACTTTTGAAATGAAGATAGCAGGTTTGGCATAGGTTTTTGGTTTTGGTGTTCTGAGCTTTCCTTTAAATAATAACTTCGGCAGCATCAGGATTCTTGTATTCTGATTACATACTGGCAGGTATTTTGGCAGTTAGTAAATCTACATCAGAGGGGATCTGGGGTTTTTATCAGTAAAAACTACCAAAAGAGAGTGCTGCCATTCATCCAAGATTGCTGTATACCTGTAATTCAATGACATCAGTGAGAAAGTTGGAAAGAAATCAGGATGTTCTGGTACTGACTTCAGGGTGGCATGTGCATAGCCAGTTTCTTCAGGGGCTTAGGAAGACATGCAGGCAACTAAATGTACTTTGAGTTGCTTTGTCTAATATTGCTGCGATTCACTTTACAGGGGAGATCCTGGCAAAGATCAACGTTCACTGCCCAGTGTTTGACTACGTCCCTCCAGAGCTCATCACTCTCTTCATTTCTAACATCGGGGGTAACGCACCTTCCTACATCTACCGCCTCATGAGTGAGCTCTACCATCCAGATGACTATGAACTCTAATGCCGTGAAGCACGTCACTCTCCAGACTCTTCCTGTCTTTCTCTTTAGAAAGATAAAACAGCTAATTAAAGTGTATGATGCAAACACAGGTCGCTGTGGGGAATTTCCTCAGCGACGTCCTTCCTACCCAAAAGCAACAGAAGGCAGAGCTCTTGTACAGGTATTGATCTCTGTGCTGTGTCAGAAGCCACGTGGAGTTGCTAACCCACTTTGATTTTGAAACAGCAAGGCATGCATGTAACTCTCTGGGGCAGCTAAGCTGTTACGTCAAAGTATGCTGTAATAAAGGGTGTTCACAGTGATCTCACTGTTAATCACATTTTCCATATACAGTTACCTTTTTCTTTAACAAGCAGGAGTTTCACCTGTGTGGTGAGTTGCCCGCACCTATGATGCAGTAGCAGGCTTTCAGGTGTGCTTTCACATAGGAATGTGATAGGAATCCATTGGAAATTGGCTTCAAAATGGATTTTTTTTTTTTTCGGTAGAATTTTCTGACAATTTTTGGTGAGTTGCTGAAATACAAACCAGCTTTTTGTACAATGCTGGAACAGAAATTCCATTCTTGATGAAAGGAAGACCTTCAGAAGTCCCGGCAGCTAGCTTGTTCACCTCCATGTCAGAAGGCAGAGCTCAAGCTCTTGCTTCGCTTATTGTTGTCTGAGGGTCTGTCTTCTGCTGCACTAATTGAGTGACTGTGATTATTCTTCTTGGATGGACCTCCAGTCTCTTTCAGAAAGTTCTTTATTTTTGTGAGGGGGAGCATGGAATGTCGTAGAAGTCTCAGGCTCTTGCAGGTCAGTCAGATCACTTTTCCTTAGTCCCTTTTATCAACGTATGGCAATACACTACACCACAGTTAAGGCATCAAATGAAAGTAGTTTCTATTCCTTGTTTTGCTTTTGATTCAGCAGATGTCAATATCTCTTTGATTTGGTTTTAAGTTGGATGTCTGTGATTAAACAAAGGTGTCATCTTCTTTTGCTATCCTGAAACAAACTCTACTCCTCTACCTTAGACTGAGACACAAAATAGAACTGGAACCTGTAAAAAAAGTCTGCCTATTGTAAAAAAAATGCTGTGGGCTATTTAGTTATTTCTGTGGGGGTAAGTTTCTCTATCCTGAGAATGTGGGGCTATGCTAGGATTTAGAAATCTCTCACTCAAGAATGCAAACTGCAGGGAGCTGGAGAAAACAACTGGGTGTGTCATTCATTGCCTAGTTAAATAAAGAGAATGTTTTTTGATCCTAAGTCGGCCTATGTATACTATGAAGCTGGTCGGTGCTCATTCCAACCACTGCCACGAGCCCAAGGAAAGAGTTTAGTGCTAATTTTATTAATAAATACCTCCCCATTTTCAAAGTACTATAAAATACATTAATTAAAAGTCTCCTCTCTATTATGCAGAATTATGCTGTGCTTGCAGAGAAAAAGCACTTTAGTAACTGCAGCTTCTTGCCTCTGATAGTCAAGCACTGACATAAGGCCCAGGCTTACAATGTAATGCCTTAATGTTGAAGACGTTTCTCCAGGCTGCAAGGGTGGGCTCCTCCTGCCATGTTCTCCTGGGTGGTCGCTGCTTCTTGGGTCAGTACTCGGAGCAGAACTTCAGTGACCGCACTGGCTCAGAAACTTGACTCCACACACGATATTGTTGTCTAACAACAGGGGAACCTGGATCATACCAACACTTCTAGTGGTTGCAGCTTACAGTCTTAACTTCTTTTAATTAGGGTCTTTTTTTTCCAAATAGATGCCATGCTCGTGCCATCTTCCGCAGTCTAGCCAAATTAGGTTTAGGCTGGAGGGAGAAAAATTAAGAAGCACTAAATCATAACAAAGTAAATGAGCTTCAAGGTCTCCCTGCTCTTTGCCCTAATACAGTCATTCCCAAGTTTTTTTAATATCTAATTCAAAGTCCCACCTGATTTTCAACAGAATCCAATTTCATAACTTAATATAGCACAGTAACAGCAAAAGGCAAGGAGTAATGATTTTTTTTTTTTTAATTTAAATGTTGCTATTTCTTTGCTTTTTTCCCCCCAATTTATAGCATCTTAAACTTTGGGGAAGTAGGCGTTTGTTTAATTAGTATCTTTGCCACTAGCAGAATATCAGAATTTACATGTTTTCCAAGTTTTACACTTAAAAACTGCAAACACTTTAAATACATGCTTAACTTTAAGGACTAGTGGACCCCATTCAAGTCAGTGTGACCATTCAAATGAAATATGCTAAGATCCTTGCTGAAGTGTTTGCAGGACACAGGTTTAATGCTCTAAAGTTTTGTTTTATTGGTAACAGCTATGTGAAAATTCAAGTAAGATACAGCCAGCGGTGATGGTTTCAAACTGGCCCATTCTAGTTCTAACACACACATAATCCAGAGCGTGGATTATCAGAGGCATATCTGTGTCCCACATAGTACCTGCTTTTCCTGCTGTAGATGGTCTATGTCTGCAAGAGGCATCATGGAAGGTCTTCCATGAGCACACTGGAAGGGCAGCTGGCAAGATGACAAAGCTTCAATCAGCCTGCAGCTCTCCTCCAAAGTCAAACGCTCATTAAACTTAATAGCTCCTGAAAAAAAAGATACAAATTCTTGCACACGCTGCCAAAGAGAACTCAAACCACCCAGCAGACTTCCCTCCACAGCCGTGGTTTTCACAGAAAACAAGGCAGCTCCCAAAGATTAGCTGGGAGGCTGCAAAGGCAGCCCAAAGGCTGCAGTATGGCAGACCTGGGGCTTAGCTCAATTAACCAGCCTGCTGCATAAGGATCACCTTTCCATGGCCTAAACTTTCACCTAACCCAAGTCTGATGGATGGTTAAGATTATTAGGTTTTGGCTTTTCAGATGACATTGCAAGAGGCAAATGGGCTTTTTTTTTCCTTTTTTTTTTTTTTGTGGCTGCATGTTACAGCTAAAGATGCAACCAGTTCACAAATCAAAAAGTATTAAACCAAGCCGACAGCTAATACCAGTTCCATAGGCTTTATCAGTTCTGTGTCCCTGCCACTGACAGGCATCAGTTCCAAGACCAAATGCTAGCCCTGCCACTAAGTCCTTTCTCACAAGTGAGCACTTAATGGCATCCAGAGGAAATCCAAGCAGAACATTAGAGAGTCAATTCAGAGGTGTTTGCAATCTTTAGCCTTCACAGATGCTCAAGACCATCTGCAATCTGCCTTTCAGCCATGGCACTTTTTTAGATATAAAAAAATTACATATTGTTTGCCATTTGTAGAATGCAGTGACGCTCCATGAAAATAGATGCTTTTGGTTCACATTTACTGCTTCAGCGTAATCTTGTTAATAATGTATATAGCACAGGAGCTGCCACAAGAGGCTAGAGCTACTGCAGTCTACACCTGTAAGGTCTGCTCATTTTCAGGTGCTGGAAAGCCATAGTCCCTTAGAAGATGTAAATTCTTACTGCACTCCTTCCAAAAATACTTGAAAGGCCACAGGCACACTTAAACTAGCACTTTTGATACTTATCTGAAATTAAAAATGCTTTTTCTGAAGAGTGTCTCTTTCCTGCTTGCTTTCAAGCAGGTTCCAGCACCTCCCCTTGCCCCTTCACAGAGCCGTTATTGGCATGGTTTAGAGTTCACAAAGATGAGTGCATCTCAGAACTGTATTCTATCTGTCCTTCATGTGAGGGTTGGAAAGTATGTTAGGCCCATAGACGAATAAATCAGAGCAGCATTGCTTGTCCCTCGTAGTGCTGTCCATGAAAAGACCATTACCATTCATCCCTATGAAACACACAGTCTGTAATCCTGGAATTCCTGCAAACACGTTCTGAAACCACTGCCCCAGGGAGGATGTTGTGTAGAGACAGAAAGGTTTAAAAAAAAAAAAAAAAAAAAAATGAAAAAAAAGAACAGTTCCCCCACCATGACAGGCCTGGGAAGATAACCCCTACAGACACGTGAGGCGCCGCGCCTCTTGCTCCTCCTCCCGTGCGCGCTGTAAAATCTATCATGAATTAAGGAGACTGACTTGATGGGAACAGGAAAAGTATGTGTACAAAACTGTACTCAGTTTCCAGTAAATCTATGGGGTTTTTTGTAGAGACAGAAAAGTTTAAAAAAAAAAAAAAAAAAAGAATGAAAGACAAGTACAGTTCCCCTACCATGACAGGCCTGGGAAGCTAACACCTTCAGAAACGTCAGAGGCAGCGTCCCTCGTGCTCCTCCTCCTGTGGTCTGCACTAGCTAGAAGTAGTAACGGAACATCATCTTACTTTCCATTTGATATGAGAAAAAGGAAGAACTGTAACACAAAGGGAACTAAAAATGAGGAAAAGCTAGTGGATTATCCACCTCTCTCATCTGAGGCTTAACATGCTTACTCCCTTTGGTTCATGCAGTAAGCTTTGCATTATTATAGTCAACTCCAGAAGCAGACAGCAACTCACCTCAACTTGTTCTTGCATAAGCTCCTGGAAAGAAAAAAGGTAATATCATCAGTTGCTATTTCTGCTTTTCATTGCCCATACCCTGCTTTGTCCGCATCTGTGTATAATTTATTGTGTAGCTGGCAGAACCAGGAAAAATTATGCTGTTGCTAGTACACTGACCACAAGAAAGATCTAGGTGCAAGTCCTGACCTTTCACAAGTATCTTATCAGACTTTAGACTAATCACTTAGTTTCTCTCTGCATCAGTTTGCTATCTGTAGAATGGGTATAATGGAACTCTTATACCTCAGAGTGCAATGAATGTGTGTTATCTTTGAATAGCTGCCCTTTCTTCTTTGGATAATAGTCCATGTGGATTTCATTTCTGATGTCTAAAATGCAATGAATTCATAATCAATTATGAATAGGTGCTACCAGTCCTAGTTAAAATAAAAAGGGCTGCAGAACAGATCTGCCAAAACGCTCATGAGATCTTGAGGCATCAGCTAAGAATGGGTGCTCCTGAGGCACAGACCTGATCCCCTCCTCTGCCACTTTTAGTGCTCTGGGCTCCCAAATGATGGCAGGAGAGTGCAGTTTCAGTTCTTCCCGATTATAGCAAGGTTGGAAAAAAAAAATTAATCGGATGAATCATCTTCTCTATTTCTTCTTTTCATATCAAGAGAGATGTATGGCAAGACTGGACTGATTCACAATGGCTCAGCCTAGTGGCTGAATATGGTATTCCAGATTTTTAAGGAGTCCTTGAAGCAGTTATGATTGTGGAGAATTGTTTACAATGGAAACTGCAAGTAATCAGTTCAGCAATTTCTTCCTCAAACTGCAGAACATCTGGAACAGCAGCTTTTAGAAAGCTCCACTGCCCATGTAGAGATTTCATGAAAACAACTTTAAATCCTTACAAATAATATTTCTGTATCAGCAATATTAATCATTTTACTGTTCATTCAAGCATTTACTTTTCATTCAAGCACTCCTGAGAAGTAAACTGTTGAAACATCTGCAGCATATACTATTTTTCTTAGCTTCTCCACTAGTCCAAGTCTGAAACAGTCTCCTATCATTTCTGTTATAATTCAGGGATTTCAGTTGTGGGACTATTTAGCTACTAAAAGGGATGGCACCCACATTTCCAAGGGACTTCATTGTCTCCCTCATAACAGAGATACTCAAATACCCTGGGCTATTAACACAGAACAAGACCCAGTATCACAATTTCACCCATATCCACAGCTGACCTCCACAATGCTTTTAGTGACAGGTTGTCTTTTCCGTCGTAATTCATTGGCTTCTCTTTCTATAAAACACAGTGGCACTTTCCTCACTAGAATCAAGGAGCTGTTGGCCTCAGGAAATGATAATTCAAGACCCAAGTCCTCCAAATTTTTGTAGCAGCATCTGAGGAAAAAAAATACCAGACACAAGACATCAATCACAGTAGCTGTGTCTCCACAGCATACATAACTATTTCTGTAGTGCCCATATATGTTTCTTCCTGCAACAGTTTCCAGTCTCAAAATCCATGCATCATGGGATTCCAAGTAATTTTGCCCTTTCAGCCTACATTCAGCCACATTTTTTCATTCCAATCAACTGTGCATATTTCATGTTCCACAACCACAAGATCTAAGAGTTCCTGTATTATATGGAGAGAAGGTTTATGTCTAGATTTATAAATCTATCTTTTCTAAAGATGTACAAGGTGTCTGGTTCAACACACAAACACTCCAAATATTGAAATTACACAGCACAAAGACTCCTCTAAGTCTAACCTAAAAAAACGTGATTTCGATTGACACATAATAGCAAATACTTACAATGGAAAGAAATATTGTATGAAATTTATGCTGGTTTAATGAACTTTATATCCCATTAAGCAAAGAGAATCCAGGAAAGAACAACCTCTAGTTAATCTGACATATGTCACCCTGTGGATGGAAAAATACCCACAAAAACGGGACTTCACAGTCAGATGAGAACTTGTCTTCAAAATGAAAACAACTGTAACAATATATAGTTTATTAACTCAGGGAATATTCACTTAAAACAAAGGTGGTGAAGGTCAGTTTTAGAAAAGAGATCCTTTGAACAAAAAGGAAGCTAATCTAAACTTACTAAAAATCAGTCATGAGAATAATACAATTATTAGCCTTCATATGGAGATGACTTGTGTAATTCTACCCAAAAAAAGAAGACATGTATAGCCTTCAGCAAGAGCAGAGAAAGACAGAAAAAGCCCATTGTGGTGAAATGACAGAATCCAAGCAGCTATTTAAGTCAATCAAGCTTTTTTTTTTTTAAGAGGGGAAAAAAAAAAAAAGGAAGTTCAAGAGAGTCAACAGAACAATGCATTACTACAATACTCAGTAGACAAATAACAGAATCAAAGCTGCAGGTGAACTAGAGGTCCAGCTGAACTATGAAATAGCAAGCAAAGCTGAAGAGAAAGGTCTTTTAGGGAAGTTAATTTATTTCATTACATCAAACTTTACCACAGAATACAGTCATACTGCCAGCAACAATAGCAACAGAATTTAGATTTTTACATAGTACTTTTAATTTGTAACTTTTTAGTAAGGATAGTCTCACAGAGTGATTGTAAAGTGACAAACTGCCAATAAATACTGATGAATTAAAGAGCAACACAATAAAAGCACCAGTAAGCCAGCACCAGTATATGCCAGCACCAGTAAGCTTCTTGAATCAATTATCTTAAGTGATAACTGAAAATCACAACTGGCATCCCACTGTGCTGAATAATTTAACCAGTGTCCTTAAAATAAAACCATGCCTCTCTGATTTACTTTATCTTACTGATATTTGTAGTATGGTTGTGATATAGCTGATGGAGACAAGTAGCTTACAGAATTTATTCAGTCTTTCAAAAAGCCTTTGGATGCTGTCTCTTAAAAGTGGCTAGAAATGCAAATGCAAAAAGTTGTCACGGATAGAGAAGTAACATTTGTCATGATTTAGAGATTATGGAAAAAAGGTATGCTGGCAACAGTTGGTCAGTGTCCAACATGACATGAGTCCTGATCTGTATCTTCGTAATTCTTTATTCATGATGTGGAAAAGAAGGGGCATGGTCAAGCAGGCAAATTTGTAGGAAACAAAATTATTTAGGTTAGCTGAGACTAAAGACGACACTGAACTCAACCAGAACTTAAAACAAGTAGAAAAATGATGAATGAAATCAGTAGGATGAATGAAAAAGTTATAATGAAAAATGGACAGACAAACTGAATTCACTGCTCCTAAAAACAAATAAATGCAAATTATCAGGAATAATTTGATCTATTTGTACATTTTGTTGGCTTCTACATAAATAGCAAAAATAAAAAAAACCCACAACTCTGTGTTTCATTGTCATGACCATTCAATAAACAAGCAGTTCATGCAAGCAGCAGTATCCAAAAAAGCAGACAAAATACCAGATGTGGATATAATAGACAGAAAATATGGGCACAACTGCAAAGCTACTGTACAAATCAATGGGATACCCTCACTTGGTATACGGTATTCAATTTTGGCCATGCACTCTCAAAAGTAGATATAAAATGGAAGAGATTCAAAGATGGGTGCAAAAATAATTCAAAGTTGAACAAGAGGCATTACAAATATTGTCATTTTAGCAAGAACACCATTAAGAGGTGGGAACAACAAAGGCATCCAAATATTACTGAACTATGAACAGCAATGGTTATGTTCTCACATTTTTCCCTAAGGCAGGTGGAACATTACAGTGCTTTACACTTTCCTTTGGAATTTCTGGTATTGGCCATTGTCACACAAAAGAGTTACCAAACGGATACAGCAGTGATACTGTTATGATTGGAATACACCCAAAAAGGGCTTTGCACCAAACAAGTGTATCCCTATAACAGGCAACAAACTTAAGAAGGAGTGATTTAAAAGCTGTTGAGTTTGCCACCGGCATCACAAAAACCAGCAGTTTGAGAATAATGAGGTAGTCCTGTAAATGTTAAGATAGAACTTCATCTGAAAATAAAGAACAATGCAGGGGAAAAAAAACACAAATGCATGTGGCAGGTGACAGACAGGGATTTTGGGGAAAAAAGTTTGATTAGTGTCCAGTAGGTCTGCAATCATCCAACAACAAATCTGTATCTAAACTCTTGCAGTAAAAAAGTTAAATATCCTAATAGTAGCTAGACCACCATTCTGAAACATTTGGGAAACAGTGTTCATTAGTTACTCTTGGCAGGCACCTAGGATTAAGGAATGCATTTTTGAAGGATTCACAATACAAACTTTCCATACCCTATCCTGCTCTTCTCAAACAGTACCTGTTAAAGTAGTGACTAGATTGACACTATGGGCACTGTGCTCTGGTGTGCACTCCCAAGTCCGGAGCCCCAGACAGTAGGATCTGTTGGAGACTGCTTTGGCACACTTCTGGCCCACACAGGAAGGCTTACTTTCTCAGGGAAACCAGAGCAAATTGTAGAGGCACAGAGATGGCACACCACGGAGTTTTGTCTTAAGATGTTGTAACGATGTGCCTGAGAAGCACACCTATTTTCCTCAGCACAGATATAGCCGATCGGCCTAGGTTCAGGAAAGAATCAACAGCTTCTTTCCTGAGCTTCATGGTAACCTAGCAATATATAGAGATCTTCATGCTAAACAGAGCCGTTCCCAAAAGTTGAGAGCTATTGGCCATTACTAACCGTAGAAATCTTCTTTGTTCTTCTGTAACTTCAATCTCCAAAGGGGGAGAGATGGAGGAGGACAGTAATTTCTTCTTGCCACATGCTGCAGCTTCCTTCTCATAGGAATCTGTGAATGAATCATTTAGAAGTATCCTCTCTTAGAATATTTACGCAGGCATTACCCTTAATGACCCTATGGTTTGGCATGTAATCCTCTGTTTGGATTAAAAAGTGACCACAGAATGCCTTCTACTGAAACTTGTGGAGGACTAGGAATGTCACAAACCAGACATCTAGTCTCTGGGGAAGGGTTGGTTAATGCCACTTTGGTTTTTTCCCACCAGTTCCAAAAAAGAGTCACCCTAAATAGCAAAAAAACCTACTGATATATTTAGTCCAACTCACAGAGAGCAATTTTTCCACAGAAAAGTCTGATATAAATGGCATTAAAATACTATTCATTAAGCATTTCTCCCTCCAGTCTTTAACTTTTTTCAGTACCTGACCAAAAGGAGCAGAGTTCCTGGAACCCTCTCTTCAGGAACTGCACAGTGTTTATTGATGAAAGAGAAGGTCAATGATTTTTAAGTACTTGATGGACAGCTATTGTGCTTTTTAACACTGAAACCAATGGCTAATGAGCTTACAGAGAAGACCATTATCCCTTTGCAAACAGTTTCAGACTGTGGAAATTTTAGGCTTTATACACAGTATTCAGCTAAAAAGGAACCAAATGAACTATGCTCTTTACTCTGCATCCCATGTCTTATTCTTCACAGCGTAACCACATAACCTTATTGATGTTGTTCTATTTCCTTTTCATTGTTTTTCCTATCAGTCTTCCTGCTCTTTCATTATGTCAGGACTATTTTAGTTCGATACTCTGTGGGTAGGGAGTGTATCTTCTATTTTTGGAAACGCTGTAACAATTTTCAGCTACCAATACTATGACTGCTACAGGTATTGAATGTCTGCACTCTCCTAGGGATCAGGATAAAGATGACAAAGCAATATCCTATTCGTTCCATGCATCCCAGATTTATCCTTATGATAAGTTAGGCAGCAGGCTTTCCCTTTCAGACAGCTTGTTTGTACTTTTCTGTGCACTGATGATCCTGCTTCCTAAGACTATCTGAATCCTCACCTGCAATAAGCTGCTCCAAGCGGATCCGTTCATGAGCTGCATGTTGGTCCACCAAAATCAAGAGGTTTCCATCTAAAAATGTACCACAAGAGATGAGAAATAGGCAACTTTGTACCAGACAACTGCACCGGTTCAGAAGAATGACCGCTCTCTAGAGGCCACATTTAGAAGATAACTATCAGCCACTTTTACAGAAATAAAATGAGGAGGCGGCTGTGTTGGCAGAACAAAAAGTCACTACAGAACAGAAACTTAGTGATCCAAAGTGGCATTTAAATTAAGGTAATTAGACTGAGTCAGAAACTCTTGTCTATTGACATCTTCATCTAACTTCAGAATGAGAGCTGAGGTCACCCACAAACTGTTCTGTTTAATACGGTCTTTAAAAATGTTACGAAAACTACTGGTTTTGAATGCCTGTTTTGTACAGCTTCAGCAAGCTTCAACAATGAATATGTCCAGACACTGTGAGCAGAGAGATGTTAGCAATTTGAGAGCAATCTATTTTTGTAACACTAATCTGAAGGCAGTAGGAACATTCAACAACGTCCAAAGTAAAGATAAAGAGGATCCAGGAAATTTCAAGTGAAGACTAACATTTTCCTCTACTCACAATACCATCCCAAGGCAAGAATAGAATACAAACAGGACAGCGTTCCCCCTGCAGTCTAACTGCACTTGACAGCCACCTCAACTTCATGTTAATAACCACTCTTACCTGCCTTTTTATCCACTTCATTCCTAGTGTTGATTAAACAAGCGATAAATTTATTGTCCACTTGCTGAAGAACCTGTAAGATACTCAGAAAAATCATTACCCAGTGGTAAAATTATTTTTACAATGAAGGTAAACAAAAGAAGACGGCAATCAAAATGGATCAAGTGCAACAAATAGCTAGTAGGATGATTAGGGGAGTGGAAACTACATCTTTCCTTTTGGCCTAGCAAAACTGAGACTGAGAGGGTATATAATTATTCTTCATAAATACAGTGGGGGGCTAAATATGGGAAAGGCAGCAATTATTTAAGCTAAAAGACAATACTGACAGAAGGTCAAATGACCATAAATCGGTCATGGAACAGCTTAGTCTGGAACTAAGAGAAAGCTTCAAAATATCCAAGAACATAATTCTGGATCAACTCTTTCAAAGAGAGTCATAAGGGCAAGAGCTCTAATTGTTCTAAGGGGGAGCTGGAAATTTACAGAATGGATTAAATGCTCGTGTAGCCGCCTCCTTCAGTTGGGAATTAAAGCTGTGCACAGCGACTCTGAGTATTTGATTTGCTGATATCACCAAGAGAATGTAAACAACCTTTTTTAACCTGCCCTGTGTTTAACAACTTGTGCTGATCATTTGTAGGCGCCAGGAAGCATTTTTTTCCCTCCTTTTCTGATGTAGAATTTGCCTCTGATTCCACCTTCCCCTCAAGCATCAGGAATCAACCAGAGCTACAGGGAATACTGAGCAGGGATGCACAATGCTTTCAGTATCTCATTGTTAGATTTAAATTAACAGATGTGGCGGTAGGGAGGAATTTCTCCCCAAGTCACATAGATAGAGCTCACTCTGAATTCTCTGTCTCACAACATGCGCACTGTTCACCTCCTAGGTAAAAATGAATAGATGATCCTATTTCTTTGCAGGGATGCAAAACATTAATTATTTTTTTTATTCTTTTCCTGTGGCATGATGCCACATTTTGTGCTTTTGGTCTTTTCTACAGAGATTCTCCAAATTGCTATAGGGTGCTGCAGGCAGTATTTAGCTTCTTCAGAGATGGGAAGTGGTAATTTCTTCTAGCTTTACCTTCTTAAAAACATACAAAGGAAAACATTACGCAGGTGAAGTTGATCACAGAACCACTCAGTAAGTTTTAAACAACAGTTCTTATTATGAGGAGTGAACAGAAAAATGGTACCTTCCATCTTCCAGCCTTCCTCCTCTCTTTTTGAAACATAATCTGTTTACTGTAACAACTGTATTTACTCCTGTTATTCTTGCACACACAACATAAGTAAGGGAATAATTTGGATCCTTGTCCACCCTGGAGATCAACATTACCATGCCCCACGCAGTCAGAACCTGCAGTCTCAAAGTCCACAGTGTGACTGCATGAGAATAATGCTAACCGGGCCTGTAAGCCTTTTTTCATTGGGATGTGAGAGGGAGAGAATCCACTTTGACATTTCTATCCAGGCAAACCATCAAAGAATGTAAGTTGAAGCCATACATTTACATTAGCTTTTAAGCTAACATTTAAAAAATTTAATGAAGAAGCACTAAAACAGTTAAACTTGATGCTATGATGCCATTTTTAAGAATCACTTTTCAGAGCAGACATAAATCTTGAAGTGAAATTTCAAGTCTTTCCATGAAATCTGGGATTTGCTTTTGAAACCACTCTGCTGAAGAATTAAATTTCTGAGGTCAATAAAAATGGAAGATACAGGGCACAGATTTCAGAGGAATATGAACTAAGCAAATGCCTACAATAAATATAAAAAACTGCCCATTGAAGTATCATTTAGTTCACAGTGTTTCTGAGCAGCAGTAACAGGGCTGCCTCTTGATTTGATTTAACCAATGCAGTCAAGGACTTCAGGGTCACTTGCAGATAGCTAATTAACCATGAGATGATACTAAGATCTGGCATGACATACGTGTCTGCCGGTATCACACAGCAACCAAGAATTCTGTTTGTGCTTGTGAAAATTAGGGATATGAACCATTTCCCTGGATACCTCTTTCCCACCAGGCAGAAATATCAGCAAATCCCATTGGCTGAGTGGGAATTTGGGGTAGACACAAGTAATAGATCATATTGTACCTGCATTGAATGAACCATGTCTTTGGTGAAACGGTAAGGATACAAGATATTGTGAATTTTCACAGCCAGACTGTCAGCCTGACTGCTGGTCACATCAACAGCAATCTGTAAAAACAGAATTACAGATCAAGCACGCTATAAAGGATATGGCAAAAAAACCCAAACACACACAAAATAACCCCAAGAAACCAGCTTTAAGAAAAACTGGAAATAACTCTGTATTTTGACAAACCAAGCTTTCCACACAAGAACAGCACTAGCTAAAGATACCATCCGGCACTCCCTTTGCTTCCATCCTCATATACTTTCCCGTCTGGATATTACCTGCTAACTTCAATGCATTTAGCTCATTCCAAGTACCTATCAGAAAACCTGAAGTTAATTATCAGCCTACACGAGCTCTCAATGGATTGCATTACAAAAGATGTATTACCCTGAAATGAGTCAGAGTATGCTCACAGCAACAACTGAACAGAACTGTTCCTTTTCAGAAGCTCACCAGCAGGTGGTTTGCTGCTCCATCTCTATTGTTTGCAGGTGGAAATGGTTACATACATATGTTTACACACACACAACATGATGATTAAAGATAATGCTACCTCATGACAACAAAGGAAGTTTTTCTAAAAGCTCCAACATTGTTTCTTTCTCACATGCTATAATCCTGCCAGGCTATAAAAACAAGTATAGTAAAATACACTTTTAAGACCCGTTGCATCCCAGAGAAGAAAGCTGGGTTATTTTATCTCTGTCCACAAAGAGGACAGACACTGTATTACAATTTTGCCATCCTTTAACTTTTAAGATGACTATCTCTGTAGAGGGACAGACAGCTTACAATAATGTCTTGCTTTTGAAATGATGTAAGGGAAAAGATTAGCCTGATACCTTCTTCTCTGACTTTGAATAAATCCACAGCAATGACTTACATATAAACAGTCTATAAAAACACATAACTGCCAGGTCTATAGTCTAATATATCACTGAATAACTTATATGCAACCATTACAATATTCATAATTTTGGTCCCCCTGTCAGAAAATAACAGAAGGCTAAACTGACTCCTATTTTAGCATGAGATGCAAGATAATACTTACCTCTGGGCAGGGAACAAAAACAGGATTATCCCACTCTGAAAGCAACGACTGGAGAGACTCCCCTTCAGCATCTAAGAAAGAACACATAGATAATACAGGGACTACCACCACCCGTCAAGAGAAGGTGCATTAGGTACCTCTACCTCGCACAAGTATTATTTTATTTTTTTGTATCATAAAAAGGGGAGAATGTAGAAATAAATAACAGAACATGAGACTGGGCTTCTCTATTGTCTGCTTTAACTAGGAAGGACACTGTGCAGCTTTCTGACTCCTAAACACGCTGCAGCACAATTCAACAGGTCCTGGAAATGGGGCAGGGGGCAGCAGGGAGGCAAAGAAAGACCTGTTTAGCTACCCACTCCCTCTGGACAAAGCCACATACCAAAAAGATGATTTCATTCTTTCCACTGCAAAAAAAAAGTGAGGATTGAAGCTATTTTTCACATTCCAAGATTGGAACGAGTACAAAGAAGGGAGTAGGTAATTATTCTTTAAACTACTGACATAATTCAACAAAGAACCGGGTATTTCATTCTGTAAATAAGTATCCCCTAACCTGCCTTCAACCCTAAAAGATTTTTTTTTCCAGTTCTAGATTTGAGATGACTCACACGGTCCCATTGTTAACAGACCTTGAGTAATTCTGGGTTCCTGTTGGTACATCTGGGAGAATTCTTTGATTTTTTTTTTTTACCACAGAACACTGTGTCCTGGAAAGCTGGCCCTACCTCTCAGATCCTGGCTTGCTAGAGTCTTCTCTTTTCGAGGTCTAGGAAGGAAGGGTAGCACAGTCTCACTTCTAAAGGGATGGCACCTGAACTGAATCCCTAAACACAATATAAATTTACTGCTGCAGATTCAACAGCATGTAAAATTACAAAAAGCTATACAATTATTATATTCTCATAAATAAGTGTGTGCTTAGCCATGTACAAATTAGAGCATCCCACAGATTTTGCAACCTAACATTGAGAAATAACAGCACATATGTAAAAAGCTGAGAATTATCAGACACTCTCGCATCAGGAAATGTATTATTTTAAAATATTACCGTGGCTTCTGCAAGACTGTCCTTCTTAAAAACTGGCTGCTGCTTTAATCACGTAAGAATTATTTCCGGAATTAGCGCAATCAGAAGTGTTATCCCCAAAGGAAAGAGGAGGCATATAGTGAAGTCTGTCAGATATCAAAAACACTTTTGACTCCGTCTGTTAAGGTGTGGCAAAACTGTCAGTCTATCACCACTCCTATCAATACTTAACACACTTATCAAGAACTTGTAAAACTGAAAACCACAAGTCAGTGAGACCACATGAGATATCAGAGTAAGCCTAACAACATGTTCCTACCCACCCAGAAATGATTTAAGGATATTACAAACCAGCACTGTTATCAAGATTATGAAGAAAAGTGGCTCAGATTTCCAGCACAGTGGTAAACATTTCACCCTTCCTTTGGTACAATTCAGACTTCTATTCTTTGTGAAATAATAATGAATTAATAAAGTTCCTTTCTACTAAGAAATTAAGGGTGTGCATTCAGGAAAAGTGGCAGAGTGATAATGCCAAAGAAAACCAGCTGCGTGCTGATAAGCTCCATATGAAAAGGCTCTACGAGATCCTAGGCCAGCCTGTAGACTCCTGACTGTTGGCTCCATTCCAGCAAGGACCAATGATGGTCCTGCCCTGGGGACCAAGAATCCTTTCAAGAATCCAAACTGGCAGCCCAGCCTGGGAGAGTAACTCAGCATCTCACTGTCACAAAACCCAGAACAGAGGACAAGATGGCCTGATGTGGTTACTGGTAGGCTGTGGCAAGTTGAAGAATGCTACCCAATTCAGACCTTGACAGAACTTTTATAGCTGTTATCATTGAAAGACATTATCTCTCAAGTTCACAGAAGCATCTATCATCTATGTGAACAGAAGTCCAGTATTTTATACACAGAATCATAAACAAAGATCCATTTTCCTGCTTCTTGCTGCAGGGAAAATCCTTGTTCAGGACATACCTTTTTCATAAAGCTAGGATTTTCTTGCCCAGAGGCCAGTGAAGATTCAGAGCTGGCAGAGATATTATTAATATGATTTTTCTGACAAGTAACATCAGAAAAGGTGCCGAGGGTAATAATATATCTACTTTATACATGCAAACCACATACAGTTACAATACTTGAGTATTCGTTTCCACTTGCCTCAATTAGATCATTAAAATACACTGGTATAATGACATATTATCAGTCAATAATGTAATAAAAGTAACAAAAAATGCAAACACAGCTGGCATAACAATGAAGACCAAGTTGAACTGGGATGTTAACCTACTACAAATGCATAGCATTAGATTATTCAAAAAGGCATTTGATGGTGGAATGACGCCTGATAATTTTTCCTGCACCAATCAGTTTAATCACTACAAAGATGCCTGAGTCCAACCTACAAAATCTAGCATTTCTGTTGTGCACATGGCATATGACTGGAAAAAACAGCAGATGGCCACTGCTGTCATGGAAAAGAGGATATGGATTATTCTTACTTCCTTGCACCTGCCACCAACCAGTGTAATTTCCCTAAACTTGCATATTAGATGCTGTTCTTAATAAATCATGGGGTTATGAAATTCTAAGTCAACACCATGGGGTTACTGACACTACTCTAAAAAGCAAAATGAAAGCATACACAGCACGTGAAGGAATTATTCCACTCCTGGGTCTTAACAGCAGTCCAAAACAGTGCTCAACATCAAGAGACATGAATGCTGTGTTAGAACACAGTTATGTTTATTCCTATGACTCAAAAGAACGAATACCGTTTGCTTGAAAAACATGTGAAAGAAAATGTTTGTTCAACTTTGAAAATCTAAGAGCTATAGGGCCTAGCCAGAGTCCAAACACCTTGCGAAGGTTTGGGACATCCGACCTGCAACCTAAGAAAAGCAAAAAAGCTGCAGTAGACATCTCACCAAAGAACAACACCATTGACAGAGTTAGGAACCAGTGATAAGGCTAAGAAAGAACAATGCCATTGGAGGTAAAAAAGGTGCAACACAATATACTTCTTCAAAGACTACAGACTATACATAATCTGAAAGTGTAAGGGTATGTGAGGTATTCTCTTCATAAACATGAATGCGCTATCCAAACATTTTGGATAGAGGGTCAAGCTCCGCATCTCAGTGCTTTGGCTGGCTACTAAAGAGCACTGTGGGCAACTGAAATTGGTAAACTACAGAAAATAAAAAGTGTTAGTCAAGGAGAGTACCATTTGTGCTTGCAAGTAATTTTACCTAATAAAAACAGAAATGTTCTCCTTGTAACAAATTTACTTCAGTGGAACACAATAGATCTTAAGAATTATTGGCATCAATTATTATACTTACAAGGGAGTAGCTTAACAACTGAAACACCTACTGCACCGGTGTTTCTATGACTAGTGACAAAGAAGGAAGTAACAAACAAAAATGGAACAAACCAGAGGCTATCGTGATTGATTAGACAAATATTTCACATGAGAACTATCTAGAAAGAAGTACAAAGTTCTTTTTCAAAACAAATTATACAGTAGAAAATATGGTCTACATGACGAATGGCTGCATCTTCGCTCATAAATTCTGCCTATAGACAGACTGAGGAACAACTTAGAACAAAGATATATCCATGGAAGGGAAAATTATCAAAGACACTATTCTGCCGAGCCAGATCAGGAGGACACAGAAAGCCAAACCCCACAGACAGATCAATGAACACTCATGAACACCACACCGCTGAAAAAACAATACAAGGTAGTGTCCTGTCACCCCTGGAAAAGCTCCATCATCAAACCACCAACACTGCTGTACAACACCTCCTACAAAGCTAAGTATGAAGGAACAGCCTTCCAAAATCTGTGGAAAGGAAACAACACATTCTCAATTAAAAAGTTAGATTTTTGTTCATTTTTCAAGGGTCGTTTTAAATTTTGTATGCAGTTAGGGCAAAATTTTAAAAACCACAACATTTTTCTAGTATATTTTAAAGTGTGTCCCTCGCTTTATATACGACAACAATTATATATAACTGTGATCACAGTAAACGTCATGATGCGCAGGTAGCTGCCTGTTAATTGACAAGGTGTTGACATTTCTTTCTATAGTCTTATTAAAAACTATCTTTTAATATCTTGTACGTTAATGTGTTACTGTCCCCATAGTCTCCAACACTTTCCTGTTCTTCATACAGCTATTACAAGTAAGGCAGTGGATATTTCGGTATAAACTGCCAGGTGCCGTCAGCAAGATATTTTGTGCGCCTAGCAGAACACAATCCGTTTTCCTCATCCCATTTGTACAACCACCACCCCGTCCCTCTTACCATTCTCTGAGACAACATTCACAGCCATTGTTGTTATATCTTGAATGCAGGCAGCTTGAAATCCATCACAGTCCAGTCGCTTTATTGATGTATATGGTCTTACCCGACGAAACATCAAAATCTTGCAGCCAGTCAGAACGGCACAAATCATTCCTGGGATCGCCTGTGCTTGCGTTGTCTGCAGAGAATTCCAAGTTGTTTGGGAAGGTCATATGGGGAACCTCAGTATCTTTCAAATTTTGTTCTGAGGCTTCACCTAATGTACTTTTATCTTTACAGATGACGTTAGTACAATCCTTTCCAGCAGGTAATGATAAAACACTGCTTGAAGAGACTGTGTAGTCCCCTTCTATGCTGCTGAGTGGTGACGGGCTGACAGAACTTTTCATGGACTCTGCTCTCGTACCGTCCGATTGCAAGCACGCATCCCCCTTAGAAATGCTGTAATTACATTCCCTCATTTTTTCCGCTGAGGATTTATATGTTTGACAAGCATTGTACAAAAAGACATCATTTGAAGGTTCAAGATCAAAACAGTAGTCCTCTTTTCTACTTGAATCTGCTTGGAATTGTTCACTAAGTTGTTCCACTTCTTTGTGGTCACTTTTCATTCTGGACAGTTTGGATGACAATGATCCTGGAGATCTTTTACAACTTGTATTTTTCTTACTAACCTGAGAGTAATCAGACAATGTCACAGGACTCTGACAAAGGGCTCGTTTGTCCTGTGAAGTTTCTCCACTGCAGAATGAAGTCTCTTCCAAAGAACCAAAAACTTGGGTACTATTATTAGCATCCGTATCTTCCAAAGCTGGAGTTTCACAAGTGCTCACACTACCATGGTCGTCATTCTCATTCTTTGAAAAGTCACAATTAGCTTGTGAATTAAAAACTGGGAGACCAAATTCACTCTGCTCTGACAACGGTGTTGGTAGCGTACACTTGATTCTCCCATAGTATCTCCTGAACTTTTCTAACGAACCCAGCTGTGTGGACAAGCTCAGCTTCTTGGAGGGCTGAGATCTTGGCACAGCTATTTGTCTTCTAGTGCTTTTTATAATTTTATTGTGAGGAATACCTGAAGAAGTTGCCAGCGGCAATTCTGTAACATTTGATGTCTCATAATGTCTTTTACTGGTGGCAACAGGTATAGCTATCCCCTCACTCACCTGATGTGACAAAGTTTTGTTCTCTAACCACTCGCTACCATCAGCCACGCATACTTCTCTGGTGTAGGGAGGTGTATATTCTTTATTTGTATTACTGGAAATGTCCTTAGCATTTAAAGACTGCATCAGAAAATTCACTTTGTGGCCAAAAATACCCTTGGCACTGACAGGGCCGGGTCTACACTCCATATTTAATGCAAGATTTGTTTCTGTTTGTTCACATTCATGTGGGGGCTCATTTTGCACAACACGTGTTAGGAGGCCTGTAGAGCACAATTTTAATGGTATTGAACTAACAGCCCCTCTTCCAGCATCGTCTATCACTTCAGCTGTTTTCCTGTCTCCTCTTCTTGCATTACAGAGTCTCATCAATGAACTTCCAGAGACAGTTTCTGGTCCCACTGCTGTTTCAGCAGGGTCTTCTCTCTCAGGCGGTGACCGAGTAACATCATTATTTAAGATATGGACTGCATTACTTTTCTGCACTACTTTGCCTTGCTGGCTTCCCACATCTTTTATGTAATTCTCTGCACGATGCTGCAGATCACCACAACTGTCTGTTTTTCTTGTTTCTGATCTGGCCCCTCCACTAAAAGAGGAACGAAGATTTCCTGAAGGTTTCAGCTGAGTATCAGATGCTTTTTGGGAACAGTTGGTGTCTTTGGGCTCCTGCTCTGAGATATTTGATATAATGAAATCAGAAGCTGTGTCATCTTTGCTGGGCAGTGGAATCTCCACTTTGTTGCTTCTACATGGATCAGATGGTTCAGCAATCTTCTGATTTGGGGCGATTTCAGTTTCCTGTAGATTTTTATTTGACTCTATAAGATTTGAAGACTTTTTTCCAGTCACGGATTTCCTTTTGACATCTTTTGATTGCAGGTTACACATTTCATAGGAATCTACAATTTTATCACATGCTTTCTTAAAACTGTCTTGGATGCTCTTCTCGTCAGAGAGCGAGGGCTTCAGAACTGGAGCATTGTACAAACAAAAGTCATTATCTTCATTAAATTCTCTGATGTCCTCACTACACGGTTCAATAAATAAATGCTCTCGTTTCAAAAGTATTTTCACTCCTTCCTCTACGCAAGTTAGAAGAACATCCCAGTTCTGGAACTCAATTAGAGTTTTTGCAGGTTCCAGACACACATCATATTCACTGTACGCACAGGTCACGTTGAGAATAAAGATCCCGTACAACTCTGGACCGCAACGATGGCGACCAGGACTTGAACTAGCCTGTCTGCTCGCAGGGCCGCTTTTTGCCTTGCAAATGACACTTTCTTTTCTTAATAAAAAATCAATTAGTTTGTGTAGCCTTGTCTTTAAAACCAGCCTTCTATTCACATACAAGAACTGCATATTCTTGTTGTAATGTCCTTCAATACTGATATAACCACTTAGCTCAAAGCCCCTAGACTTATGATTTATTTCTCGTAACTTCTGCGATCTGCCCAGTCCATAAATTTGACAAAACCGAGAGTACACATCTCTTGTCTTAGGGAGCTGAAGCACCATAGAACAAGAAGCATCATTCCTTAAAGAAAGTGAAACAGAGGGATGCATCAGCGAAATAGCCTCTACTTTCTGTCTCACCCTCTCAAATTCCCACACAGGATCCATGCACTTTCTCCTCACCGGTAACTGATGGAACAGATTACACACGGTCACCGTAGTTCCACCACTCGGTCTGCTCAATTCAGCTTCGCAGACTTCCAGTGCTTGCCCATTGTGAAAGAGTTTCACAAATGTTTTTGCTGTCTTGCTGGTCTTAGATGAAACTTCCACTATGCTGGCCATGTTGGCTATGCTTGCCACAGCCTCCCCTCTAAAGCCGTAGAACGTTGGGTTCTCCAAGTCTCCCACTGAGCTGCACTTGCTGGTGAAGTAACGCTTTCCCATTGCATTTAAATCCTCTCTCCCCATCCCGGAGCCGTTGTCCACCACCTGGATCTTAAAAGCTTCCAAATCCACCCTGACAGCTACACATGTTGCTCTGGCATCGATGCTATTGAGGACAAGCTCCTCAACACACTGCCCCAGTGAGCCAATAGTCACTCCAGAACGCAACCTGGCTCGCACATCTTCCACCAAACATTTGATCATGTCAAAATCAGATAGATGAGAAAATCAAGAAATTGCAGGGAGCTCACTCCTCCATGTTCCTTAAAACAACTCCCTGGGTGGAGGGGAAAGAAAAATAAAAAAGAAAATAAATACAAATTAAAGGCCTGAAAAAACTTTCATTTATTGCATTCATTCTCATAAATATAGTTTTGCTAGTTTTCCTGGTATTCGGAGGCTTTTTTTGTGATTACTTTCCTGCTCAGGCTTTGACTACACATTGTTGGTACCTTCAGGCTAAATGGCCAGAATCTGAGTCTACGCTCCTTCCTAACAACATACATGATTCTCAAACTTAACATACCTAAACCAAACTCCAACCATGATAAGGCTAAACTCAAATGACCTGCAAGCAAAAGGCTTCTGCTTCCATTTCTATCAAAAATATATAGAAGGCATCACCAAGAAGCAGGCACAGAGCTGCTTTCCTTTCGTTTTTAGCTCAGTCTCCTCACAGAAATTCACAATGCCTCGTTCTGGCTAAAGCGCATCTGCTGCAATTTGTCCAAGAAAGGAATAAAGCGGACTTGGGAATGGGTGTGGGATATTGAGTAAACCGTTTATGTGAAAGAGACCCCGCTATTTTCCAGTCCTGTCCTTGATGACTACTGGTCTCTCACTGGTATTCGAGGGGACACCTCTGCACCCCTCAGGCAGAGCTCCCCGTGCAGCTTTGCAAGCGCTAATCGCCCCCTCTGGGGATCCGGCGCCCCGCTGTGTGACCGGTACCCAGGGGCTCCCTGGCCCCGGGGCAGAGGAGGGGAGGGCAGCCCAGACCCGCGCCCCGCCCCGCAGGAGCAGCGGGCCCCTCGCCGCCCGGG